CAACCAGCATGACTGAATCACAGAATTAAGATGCATACATTGGAAAAAAGGAATAAATTGAGGATTAGACAGTGACTGCTGTTTTGGGAGCAAAAACTTTGCCCTCACCTTCTCTGTAATTGGACGTGAATTTTAGAAATGGAAGCGGTAGTGGTGGAAGTTGTCATGTTGAAACATCAGAACAGAGCCTAGTCACCGCAGCAACACTCAAAACAGCTAGTAAACACTTCAAATGATGTAGTGCAGCAGTTCTCCAGACTCTCCAAACACGAGCCATCGCCAATTTCAGCAGCTTCCGGTGTGGTCACATTTCCAGCAGACGTCGGCTGGCTTGAGGTCACTGTTTGGTCCATCCGTTTTCTAAATCGGAAAAGCCTTTTTATCTTGCTGTTTGAGAAGGCATAAATAAGCAAAGCACGACCTGCTGTCAACTGAAATGAGCACTTTCTTGCAGCTCATCACATTGAGCATCTTGCAATGCTTCTTGCATCGCTGTTGTTGTAGGTGGACGGTGGTGGCAATGCACATCCACCACTGCCCTAAATGGTCAGTGCATTGCACACAGCCACCGCTGATTCAATCTCAGATGAACTGCATGTTTCGGCAGATTAGGTGAAAGCAGAAAACCTGTAAAACTTTGAACTGTTAAACGCCATCAGTTATATAAAGTGTCGCAAAAAATGCTTACCCATTCAGGTATTTATTTCAGCAAACTTTAACATATTTGGGGTGATTTGTAAGCACGGTAAGCACAATTCACGATGCCCAGAAACCTCAAGTCATGATGCATTTTCAATAAATTGATTTTTTGCTCTTTTCAACTGGTTTTCAACAATGAGTAATGCAGAAAATTGGCAAATTAAATCAAGGCACTTTTATTCTATCAATGAGCACCTAATAGATGGCTAATCTGCGCAGTGCAAAATTAGCATCTAACAGTAAAATGAATATGAATGAAATGCAAATTTCTTTAGTCAAAACATTCTGTGAGTGTGATTTCTAACACTTTCCAGAAGAAGCAGTGTCTCCTTCAGGTAAATACGCGGCCACCTGGCCTGCTTGATGCATCAACACACTTCAGCAGTACTGTCACGTATCTTCCGACCTGCTCATAGTGCACTGACTCAAATGGAACCTAGCACTTGCTTGGTTCCAGCGAAAGAGACCTGTTAGAGNGTGAGTGTGATTTCTAACACTTTCCAGAAGAAGCAGTGTCTCCTTCAGGTAAATACGCGGCCACCTGGCCTGCTTGATGCATCAACACACTTCAGCAGTACTGTCACGTATCTTCCGACCTGCTCATAGTGCACTGACTCAAATGGAACCTAGCACTTGCTTGGTTCCAGCGAAAGAGACCTGTTAGAGGTGATGCTTCAATTATAAAAATACCCTAAAACCAAATTAGCATTTGGACGTATCTACTTTTTAAGGAAAATCTTTTCAAAAATTAGTGCACTCTCTTGTACAGCACTGTGTGTTGGTGGTGGCAATCAGTTGTTGTTGTGCTATTCACGGCAATTTAAGGCTCGTATCGTTTCAAGTGCATCTCTTCATTTTTGGGCAACAGCAGCAGCAGCAACTGAATCGTAGCACCACCACTCAGTACAGCACCCTCTTAATCGACACATTCTGTTTCCAGCACTTCATCTTATCGCCATCATATCGCGCCCAATCAGTGTGACAGGTGTTACACTGCTGACTGGACTGATAAGGTCTCTGGAGTGTGTGTGTCACCGGAGAGGGGGAGGTGTCGCCTGGAAACGCACCAGCAGAAGCATCAGCACTGCCTTAGTCTGTACTTTCACCAGGCATCGACTTTGACTTAGCACCTGCAGCATCAGCATCAGCTCACGGCCATTGGCTTTCTTGTACGGTGCTGCTCAGTACACAACTTTCCTGTCTCCTGCTGTACAACTGCTCTACGACAACAACAACAACAGACTTTCGGTGACATTTAGTGTCTCGAAGGCGGCTCTATTGTCTGTTTCGCTGTAAGTGAACTGAGTGCTCTGTTTTTGCAGCGTCACAGCTTTTATAACATTGGCCTTTTCTTTATTACGGCACACTAGAAGATCAACAGCGCTCATTTTTCTCATCTCCATCCCATCTCCATCATCATCATCATCCTTTCAACCATAAACATGTCAACGACGTCAACAAACCGAAGTGGCCCAGGCAGTGGTGGGCAGCAGTTTAAAGTGGTTTTGCTTGGTGAAGGCTGCGTCGGAAAGACTTCGGTCGTCCTCCGTTATGTCAACAACAAGTTCAAGTAAGTTCAGGCAATGAACGAGAACTTGATTGCTTTTTGTTTTCAAGAATTAATGGAAAAATGTTTTCCTGTTTTAGCGACGCTCACCAGTCAACACTGCAAGCCTCATTTTTGACAAAAAAGATTTTCGTTAACAACGTTTCAGTGACGCTAAACATCTGGGACACTGCCGGTCAGGAGCGGTTCCACGCTTTAGGTGAGACTAGTGTAGGATGCTCAAAATCAACCAAAAACTACTGGAAATATACTAAAACACTAAAATTGTTGCGATCCTAGGCCCCATCTACTACCGAGACTCCAATGGCGCCCTCCTCGTGTACGACGTCACCGATCCTGATTCACTTTCCAAGGTGAAGGTGTGGGTCAAAGAGCTTCGGAAGATGCTGGGAAACAACGTCTGCCTGGCGATTGTCGGCAACAAGGCCGACCTGTTGACGGGCAGCGAGAAGGCGCAGATGAGCAACGACCTCATCGTCGAGGGGCAGAACTACGCCAAGCAGAGCAACGCGACGCATCACTGCACCTCGGCAAAGACCAACTTCGGAATTGATGATCTATTCGTTGATCTGACCAAGCGTGAGTGTTGAATGATGATGATCTGCTACAACCTCTGTTACCTCTATTACCAACCTCTTTTGCTATTTTCTTTGCACAGAAATGATTTCATTCAGCGATGCTCAACAGACAAACGCAAGATCATCGGCCACGCCTGGCGCCTCGTCGAGGTAACCAAAAAGCCTTCCTCACTTTACTGATGTGTTTAACGTGATATTGAAAATTCCTATATTTCAGCAGAGGCATTTCGGTGGCAGCAGACAACGAAGTGGCGCCAGAGGGTCAAACAAGTCGAAAGTGCTGCTAACTCCTCCTGTATACTCCTGTAAACACCAGTCAAACCAGTGAAAGACACTTGTGATAACACTTCTGCGGTTTCTCAGCATACCATCAACAAGTCAGCTACCGAACGACCGATTACGTATTAGTAATGCGGTATTACGCACTTGGTCACAACACTCCTCCCCTTTTCTCTTCTCCAACTCTTTCCCCCCCCCCTTTGCACTTGCGTCAGCCGAAATTCTTGTCCCTCAAGAGGAAGACTTTTCGATGATGATCTTCTCAGCTTGTTTTACTTTTTCCGTGGACGGTTGGTGACGATGGTGTGTTGCAATGCAGCAGGGCTTTGACGATCCTCTCCAAATTGGCCAATTGTTGGCAAGCACTTTCATTTCGAAGTTTCTTCGAAGCCAGTTTCTTTCTTTGCACGCGCTCATCTACACCGTTTCTTCACCTATACGCCTTATCGGTTGTCTATATTACCTCTAGTTTTTT